TCAGCGTTCTTTTACGATGATATTGTGTTCTGTAATGCACGAGTTTCTCGACTTCACATTTTTCCTATTGTATTGAGAACAATAGAACAATGCCGGTCGGTATCTATTTGCAGACCTGTTAACCGGTCGGTAAGTGATTTACTAGACCGCTTTTAACAAAGGAGCCGGTAGGTAAGTAAACATTAAATGACAATAGTAAGTAAATAAGTACGAACGATAATGAACTGTATTATAAAAAAAAAATAAATAAATAAAAAATACAAAAAAAAAAAAACAGTCTGCTTGAGATTACAATGGCGAAAACAAACATGGATTTAAACATGCATATGATACCTGGGTAAGTGACTCAATAATAATATTCTCTAGGGACAAATATTTCGGAAAAAAAAATATTATCAAGTGTAAGAAAGTACTCAGATTAATAAGGACCACTAATGATTCTGCGGACATAAGTTCCCTAAATTTGATTACATTTGTCCTTTTATAGAACCTTCTCGGAATATATTTCATTCTTTCATCAGTAAAAAAGGGACATTTAAGAAGATAGTGGAATTCGTCACTCACGTCATTTAGTGATCATAACATACACTTTCTGTCTTCATATGGTAGTGTACAATTTCGCCACCTGCCTGTTTCTACTGGCAATCTTTGATTACCTGTTCTAAAATGGAATACTGTTAGTCTTTTATTTGGGGGAATTATATTTAAATATGGTTCAAATTTAATATCAGATTTAAATAACCTATAATTTGTTCCTTTCGAGGAAATTGCTAAATTCTCGTTGAATTTCTGTATAAACTGGTCAAGTAATGTTCTTTTTATTAATTTGCCTACGTTCTTTAAAGTGAAAATTTTCTGGCTGATCCAATAGTTAGTATTTCCGGTAAAATCAAGAATATTTTTTACATAATTTAACCATTTGTAATTAATTTCTGAATTCAACATAAACTCATAACATTGCCTTGAAATTTTAGACTCACTGCCCATAAGAAGTTTACACCAATTTTTTATCATGTATAGGTTAGAGTGCATATTGGGTGTTCTTTGTAAATAAAAAAGCTAAAAAGGAGCGGAGCTTGCGAAGCGACTGTAGCTTTCTTATTTACGAAGAACATCCAATATGCACTCTAACCGGCTTAGTGCTCCGCCCACTTGCGTTTTATAATATAAAACGTCCAGTTTATATAAAATCTGTTCTATTAAGATTTGCAACCTGAAATTTGAAAAATCCTCGTCGGTGATTGGCTTAAAAAAATTGGCGAGCACTAATCTTGTTTTAATGACTATTTCAAGCGGATAACGACAAAGCTCACCATATAGCATTATATAAAATTTTTTTTGCTGTTTTTTAATTTTTCAAATTTTCTGAACCCTTTCATTAAAAATTTAAAAGCGCATATTCAAGAAAAATTATGTAAAAATAAGGTACAATTGGTTTAAAAAAGTTTATCTTATCAATGTGTATACTTAATATTTTATATGGTGTCTTTTTCTTCCATTAAAATTTAAATTTTGGTCTATGAATGAAAACGAACATTACAAGAAAACCAAAATAAATTTCCCAATTGCAAAATTTTAATCCGAAAAAATAAAACCAAAAAGCGAGGTGAAATTCAAAGGAATGACAAAAAGGACTTTCTTAAAATTTTTCTTTTTACCGGCGACATTTCTAGGGCCGTGGGGAAAAACATAAATCTTTTGAAGGGGCGTCTTTTTTTGCTTTTGTTTTCTTGCGGGAAACGGTACCCTTTCGATTAAATATATAGGATATGTAGTGCCTTTTAAGCTTGAATTATTAACTGTTTTCGCGCTTTTAAAAAAACTACCCGATGATGAAAAAAGAACGCCCAGATATATATATTCTTTAACAATTTCTATTTTTTCGCCACTTAAGGTAATTTCCAAGTCTACTGGTGCCAAAAATAATGATCTTAGTCTTTTGCATATTAATTGTCAATTTCCAGTGTTTACAATACTGGTGAAAATCATTTAACATGTTTTGAAAATTTTTTTCGTCTTCACTTACAATAACAGTATCGTCTGCTTATAATAGTACAAAAATTTTCAGATACACATCGATGCTTCCATGATTTCGTTTAAGTTTTAAGATATTCTTCAAGGTCATTTAAATATATTGAAAAGAAAACGGGGCCAAATTTTCCCCTTGACGTACCCCACACATGCTTTTGAAAAAGGGGGAAATATTACCGTTTAAAGATACACATGATTTAATATTTGCATACATCATTAAATAGTTTCCCGTTTATTCCGTTTTAAAGCAGTTTGTTCCATTATCCTACACGCCAAATTTTGTCAAAAGCGGCCGAAAAATCTATGTACGAGCAAAACAGTTTTTTCTTTTGTGATTTAAGGGTGTCAATGAGAAAGTTAAGAGTAAAAATGTGGTCTGTGATCTGAAACCGGCCTGATTTTGTTTAAGGATATCTAATTTACTTAAGAAAGAGTTTATGGGTTCGTTTAATATGGCAGTGAATATTTTCCCAAGGCAACTTAATATTGTGATTGGACGATAATTTCCTGGGTCTAATTGTGAACCTTTTTTCTTGTAGATTGGCATTATAGTGCCGATAAGCCATTTTTCAGGTAAACTCCCACTATCAAAAATTTTATTAAAAAAAATATAGTAAATTGGTGTCAAAATGGACTTAGTACTTTTAATATATTCATTGTAAATGAAATCTTGCGGTGAAGCTGCTTTTGAATTATTGCATTTGTTTATCATTTTTAATATTTCAATTTCTGTAATGGGCGCGTTCAAAATACTGTCATCTATAGTTATATTTAGTTCCGCTTGATTAGTTTGTATACAATCATCATAATCGGGGTCGGAGTTTACTTTTTTAAAGTGATTATAAAATTCGTTGATATCTGGCGTAGTATTATTAGGACATGACTTGTATTATTCAAATTGTTCAAAATTTTCCAAAAATCTTTCGTTTTTTGTGTCGCCTGTACGGAGTAGTGGCGACATATAGGGATCACTTCTCCTTCGACTGTCTGTCCGTCTGTCTGTCTGTCCGTCACAAAACTTGTCTGGACTACTCCTCATAAACTACTGGTGCAATTTCATCCAAACTTTACAGGAATGATCAGTACCTAGTCTAGTTGTGCATATTGTCAGCATTTTCCGGTTCAATGATTTTTGTTAGAGTTATGGCCTTTTAATAATTTTTATTTTTAAAGTTTGTCCGGACTACTTCTCTTATACCACTTATGCAATTTCTATGAAACTTTACAGGATTGGTCTGTAGCTCAAGTCCTTGCGCATATTGAACGGGTTTTCCGGTTGAATGATTTTTGCTGAGTTATGGCCCTTTGATTAAAAGGTGTTTTTTTCTGTGTGTTGCCAGATACACAAAAGCTTGTCCGGACTACTCCTCAAAAACTGCTGCTGCAATTTCATCCAAACTTGACAGAAATGATCAGTATCAAGTCTAGATGTGCATATTGTCAGTATTTTACGGTTCAATGATTTTTGTCAGAGTTATGGCCCTTTAATAATTTTTATTTTCAAAGTTTGTCCGGACTTCTTCTCTTTTACCACTTATGCAATTTCAATGAAACTTTACAGGATTGATCTGCAGCTCAAGTCCTTGCGCATATTGCACGGGTTTTTTGGTTGAATGATTTTTGGCTGAGTTATGGCCCTTTGATAAAAAGGTGTTTTTTTCTGTGTGTTGCCAGACAAAAGCTTGTCCGGACTACTCCTCATAAACTACTGGTGCAATTTTATCCAAACTTTACAGGAATTATCAGTACCAAGTCCAGTTGTGCACTGTCTGTCCGTCTGTCACAAAACTTGTCCCAACATAAAATTGGCTATCATGAGGCGACACATGTGATTACTGATCGCTCTTGTTTAGAATGCATTTCTCTTAATTTACGTGCGTTTCGTGTGTTATGGTGACGTATATATGTATTCATTGTTTGTTTATAAAATTTAGCGGCACGATTTAGTTCAGATTTATATAGGTCATTCTTATGTAAGCTGTACATTTTTCGTGCGCGGTTATAATTACGTCTCACTTTATTACATTGAGGCCCGAACCATTGGTTTGTTTTTTGTTTGTTAGATGTTTTTTTTTAAAAAAAATGATCATTGTTTCAAGGAGGTTTTGACGGAAAAGTCTTAAAAGCCGAATGATTAAAGAGGTCTGCATTTTTTTCTGAAATCTTTTGATTTGAGTTTTTGATATTTCACCGTTTAGTTCATTTAAGGATAGTTCAATCGATTTGAGGTCTTTTTCATCTAAATTTAGTACAAACTCAGAAGAGAGGTTATTCCTCCATTTCGGCGGCTTTATAAACTGACTTGACGTTGTTTTATTATGATCCGTTTCTGTACTTTGGCTATCAAGACACGAAAAATGTATTTCGACTGTTAACAATGTCCATCCGAAAATAATGCATCAACTTCTTTAACTTCAAAATCTGTTAGAAAGGGAAACAAGTGAACTGAGCCTGCCATGTAATCTATATAACGGAAGTATTTCTAAAAGTGAAGTTTCCCTTGTTTCGGTCTTTACCTACTCTACCATTTAATATGTATAAATTATTACATTTACATATATCAAGGAACTTATGCCCGACAGCATTGTTTTTCGTGTCCATAGAAGTTCTTTTAAGCGGGACCTTACATTTTTCATTTTTCGAGTATTTCGAAAGAGTTAAATACACTCATGAATTGTTCATCAAATTCGAACTGTTCTGATAGAAAATCATCTATAATGACAAAATCATCAGCGGTAGAAGTATGGCCATTTACATCCCCTAAAATAAGACAATATTTGTATTTTATACATGTAGTTGAGATTTCATTTTCAAGCTTGAGAAATTCATACTCATACTGTGCGGATCGTTACAGTATGTTACTTTACAAGCTCTTTTGTTTAATTAACTGATATAGCAGTAATAGATATAGGAAGCAAATCATGAATGATATACAATAATTATAATAACAATTATAATAATTATAATACCTTTTAGATCTTCAGCCTTTGTATTCCTATGCATATTTAAAGCTCCGCACAAAACTGTGTATCATGTATACATGTATGCTACACGTTGATTTGTTTTGCAAATAGAATTTTCAGATAGCTATGACGTCATCTGCTTACGTCACGAATATGACATCATCAGTGTTAATTGAATTCTATATGTTTTTATTTCAATCACGAGTAATGCGACAATCAACAGAAATGTTTATATAACCATAATTTTGGAATGAAAAAATAGAACTATTTGAAAACTTTTTTTTGCATATAAAGATAAAAGGAGTCGTACTTACTGGTGTTCAAGTAAAGTTACCTTTTATCATCTTGAATAAACATGTACGCAAAATTAGATGGCTTCAACGAGCAGCGAAAATTCCGCTGTACAAGTAGCTCTACTCATAATCAATTAGTATAGGTTATAGTTCATATATTAGAAAAAAATACTTGAAAAGATTTATTTTCATATATTAGAAAAAAATACTTGAAAAGATTTATTTTCCTTTAGATAACTTCACTGTCTAGTTCACGAGTATACTGTCTATGGAAGAGGGGTACCATTAAAAGGTGGAAAGCTAAATCATAAAAGGTAGAAAGCTAAATCAAATGAAATTTTTGTAAAGATTAAAATTTTTAAACGGTAAAAATGTGTTAATTCAAAAATATTGTAATTATCAAGTTGTAACATAGAATAGTTATGTTATTTAGTTAACACTCATGAAAACTATGCACAAACAGAATAAATTTTTCCGGAACAAAATATCATTCCACTATTTCAAGTAGTTTTTTTATCCGTTAAGCAATAATTTCGTACTTGCGCCTTTCACTTAAAATAAAATAAATAGAGGATCTATTAATGCATGATTTATTTTCATCGAGTGGTATGAAAATAAATATTTCATGAGTGGCGGTAGTCACGAGTGAAATATGATAATTTTCATACCACAAGATGAAAATAAATTATGTACTCATAGAAACAACTTGAATTTTCTGCTTATTATAAACATTTGTCTTTTTTGACATTACAATTTTCAATTTGAAAGACTTTCCCTTATATTTTGTGTACTGGCAGAATTTAAAAGAAAGAAGTCCGGCAAGACACTAGTGAAAATACGAAAAATATGTTTCACTGCATTGAAAAATATTTTTTACAGTTAAAATACGGAAAATGAAAGTACGCATTTTATTTCATCAATATTTCTTTATAAGTATATGATAAACCCAGGTTTTTTTTTTTTTTTGACTTTTAAACAGAAAGTTTGGAAACTGCATGCTGAGATATACATGTAACTTTATACATAGCTTATAGCTATAGTCCTTACATAGTGTGCCTTGTCTTGTATTATAGACTTCATCGCTTCATAGATTAACTTTCTTTTTTTAAAAAAAAAGAGTATATGTTATAGATTTTGTATGAGTTTTTTCTTTCATAAGCACACATTCTGTTCAAAATGTGTTCTATTTAGAGAAAATACACCAACCCCCGGAAGCGCCCCTATGTCACTTTGTAATCGTTTCTGGTCAGTCAGTTGACATCACATGCGGCGTGTGCGTGTATAAAAATTTAGTTCCTTTATAACTGTACTATCATCTGCCCTAAAACCACATGCAAAAACCCAGCAAACGTTTCACGTGACAAATTATTTGCGTTTCATATTAAACAACTCATGTGACTTAAATTAAATGAAAATAAACAAAATAGCATGATAAATAAGAATAGAACGTCGCTATTGTTTTGGTTTGTAGCGTACACAAAATAAATTAATTGTTTGGACAATAATAGAATTAACAGCTCTATATATATTCATATTCATATGATCAAGGAGCACAAACCACATTATGTTTTTGAATAAAGCCTTATATTGTGACCGTTTTTATTTGTTTGGGTCGTCAGACCAAACAAATAATGGTAGCGAAATTTCAGACTCTAATTCTGTTAATTGCAAGTGCCGAAAGTAGTCCGCTTTTTTAAGCGGTTACTTCCCTTTATATGTAAACTAACGCCGAAAAAATTCAAGGGAGATCACTGCGTAAAGATGGTCAAATTACAGGCGCATTAATTTTCAAGCAAAATAATTCCCGAATGGTCGAAGATTTTTAATATTGTTTTATTCTTTATAGATATACATGCTTATAGTAAACTCCATGATTATTTACATCTGTGTTAAACAACAGTTAGCGTCGTTACAAACCCTAATCTAGAATAATATTGTTTTCTTCAGACTTTTAATATATAAATTCACCGTGGCCGAGGGGTTTGCGCACGAGAGGTCTGTAGTTCAAATCCCAGTAAAGGCAACTCATTTTTCTTTCAAATTGTTTAAGTCAAATAAACATTGGATTGAATATCAGTGTTTAAATGAGTTTTAAAGCCAATTTACTACAATTAAAACGCTGGAAAGCATTGGTGGCATTTCACAAAAACAAGTTGGTTTATAGTCTCACAACCTTCACCTTTCTAACATTCTGAGACCCAAACAAATTCAGCGCCTTCTGTGTGTCGTTTTTAATAGAACTGATTGGAAGATAAGACTCGTACATATCTACATAAGCCCGCGGGGAACATGGTGATTTTCTTTGTACGCGTACATTTGAGCCGCGTCATGACAAAACCAACGTAATGCGTTTGCGACCAGCATGGATCCAGACCAGCCTGCGCATCCGCGCAGTCTGGTCAGGATCCATGCTGTTTGCTATCAGTTTCTCTACTTGTAATAGGGTTTGTAAGCGAACAGCATCGATCCTGATCAGACTGTGCGGATGCGCAGGCTAGTCTGGATGCATGCTGATCGCAAACCCATTATGTTGGTTTTGTCATGACGCAGCTCATTTTACTCTGCCAGGAATACTTAAAGGCCACAGTTATATACAAAATTTAGTTAATGACGTTCCTTAATTAGTTTTCGGCAATGTTATGCTCCTTTTTTATGCTTGCGAACAGAAAATCATGCTATAGACTTAACGGATAAAACAACTAAAATCAAACAATGAAATACTATGAATGCGTTCTATTACATGGCAAGGATTAAACACATAAAATTTTATGGTAGCTATTTTTTAGGACACGTGTACGTTCTTAATATAGGTCAGCACATGGTTGCTTTTTACATAAACAAACTTATATAAGGTTTGATAATTGTAATATCTTATTTACATATAAAGGAAGGTTAATGATACTCTTGTGATCACCAGAGCGAAACAATTATTCAACTTACAGAACAAAACAACAGGCGTTTTCAGGACAATAAACACATGCAATTCTTTTACGGACAATCAGCATGTCTGATTTTGTTTCTTATAATGAAAATCTGTTATTTCTTTTGAATGATGCTTCGTGTGGCGATAAGAGTAACTCTAATTCACGGTACCGGGATTGGACCCATGGACTAGATACACAAGTAAAAAATCGGAGCGAAGGTCCTAGACAGATATATCAGCAGCAAAAAGGAATGTATTGTCCGCTAAGTGCTCTTGAAAGTGAGGTAAAAGATTACCCGAGGCGTCACAGGGATCCTTACCTGGATGAGTTCGAGAGAATTTCGTCTAGCATGATTCGTTTATTGTGCGAGGCAAAGCAACGAACTCTGAAGGCAAGTGAATTTCATTTATCATACAGTACCTCGCTAATATAAAGCTAAAGCTTATAAAAAACATATTAAAGTTTGCATACAGTGTGCACAACAATACTTGTCTTTATGAAGTTACAAGCGCAACCTTCGTCTTTCACGAAATCGACTTTACATAATGAAAAACGGATCAGTTAAATTTTCAGAATTATTTCTTACTTAAGTTGTTTGCAACTCTATCGAGTACAAATATAGAATATCAAAAATCATAATGTAATATATGCGCTGTTCGTATCAATTAATAACAATTTCAATATGCTTGTCATTCTCAAGATAGAAAGAGATAGCTCTATTAGTTTAGTTTTACCATATTTTATTGTCTTTATACATGCAAATAAACACACAAAAGAGAACAATAAAAACAGAAGCAAATGGGTTGGGCAACATTACATGAGGCCCTTCCCAGCCTTGTTGTTAACCAAGCGTGTAAATTAATTAAAAGATATTAACAAATTAATGATGGCTTCTTCAGAAATTCTCTCAATCAAAATAAAAAAACTTAACACACAGTTTTAGAAACAATTAAACGTAGTATTTTCATATCCTTTAATGTTATTAAAATATTTTTTTTTTAAGAATACATCTTTGTCGGGCCTTGTAGTTTGCCCGAATGATGAAATTCATGGTGGAGATGTTAATGACGTACAAAGGCCTAACGCAACCGGAAGAAGAAATAAAGTTTTTGAAACAGGGAGAACATCTCAACACATAACGAAAGATCATGCATCAACCGATAAGGACCGACAGAAAAAAGAATCACACAATAAAGGTCCATTAATATACTCAACTCAAATAATTTCATTGGCATAAAACAAGTAACAAGTTTATAGCCATACAAAATATAACTAGTTCAGTGATAATAGAAAGACATGCATGTTTATATCATTTACAGAAGAGTACTGTAAAGACAAATACATAGTATTTTTCTAAACATTTACGAAGTAAGATTTTATGTGATAACATAAACAATTACAATACTATACGGCGACACTGTGTTAAATTTAAACTATAGAGTATAATGATGTGTATTGATGTATATCTCTGTTTACCTAAAAAAAGCAATTCATATAAATAAAGTTATGATTAGGAGACACGTAATTTTGTTTCAAAATATATAAATTTCGATAAACTTATAATAGTTGCGTTTGATGTAGATGACATAAGATTTTTAAATTTCGTTAAAGTAGGCCAGTGACAATAATAGTTCTTCTAATATTTACGCCTTAGTTCTCTATATTTGGGGCAAACTAACAGAAAATGGTATTCATTCTCTAATATATTCATGTTGCATGATAAACAGACCCTTTGATCTCGCGGCACATTGTTATATCTTCCGATTTCTATATTAAGTCTATAAGAAGAGGTTCTGAAGCGGACTAAAGCATTTTTAAACCTTTGGTCAGTTATAACTTCCAAATACCGTTCTCTTTCGAAAGCGTGTTTAAATAAACTATATGTTTCTAAACGTCTAGAATTAACCCCCTCTGAATACCATCTTTGGAGAAAATTTGGAGAAAATTATCAATTATTTGTTGTTGAATCTCCAAAATGGGTATTTGTGTGTTTGCAACCAAACATAGAGAAACCAGTGTTCTTGCAAAATACTCTTTATTTAAAACGTCCGGCTACCCACGTTAACATTACCTAGCTCGCAATCAGTTTTCAACATTAATATGTAAACGAGTTTAGAAACCTAAAAAAAATGAAAATTTTAAATTTTGATGACGTCAGATCGATAACTCGTGTGATTTAAATTGATTAACAAAATATTCCCAAGAAAAATAGAAGAAATCCATTGAAAATCATATGTTTGTGCTATTCTTAATCCGATTTGAGTGAAAAGCGTTTAAACACTTTTCAATATTGGGTCATTTTTCACTATTATAATAATCATTCTGGAAAAACGGAGCAAGCTAATGATCTGAAATTTTGCACATAAGTTATTAGTATAGATCTACATCAAATGGAGTAATAATCTCAAAAAAATATTTCCAGACCCGTCATTTCAAAAAACCTCAGTGGAGTCCCTTTAATATGTAAACAGTTAGAAAACCTGAAGCTAACAAATGACACAATATTTCGAAATTTAATGATGACGTCAAAGTCGTATATACTCGTGTTGATTTCAATTGTCTTTCAATTCTTGTATTCTTTGTAAAATATTGGCATTTAATTACGTTTTTATTCTGATATTGTTGTACATTTTTGTGTAGTTTAAATACTATTTCACATTTGTCGGATAACACAACGAGTTTTGTGACTAATAATCAAATGTGTATAAATATTTCATTTTTCGTGTTCTAATGGTAATTTTTATTGCTGATTTGCCAGCAAAGAGAATGTTAAGATTATGTCAACTGCTTTCTTATTAACTTCATTTAGGTATTTTTTTTAATAATGATAATTTTAATATCTATGGATGCCAGTTATATACAAGGTACGTTTTCATCTTTAATTCTATTTAGTGGAAAGAAGAAGAAGGTCTATCATAAGTGACAGGATAAAGGAAATAAAGTGTCTTCTTCCGGAACATATCAGTCGGTAAGCAAATTAACGTTCATTGTAATACAATAACTTCCATATCAAACAATGGTCTCAAAGTGTTGCATTTATATAACCTAATATTTATCCTTTCAATGAATGATGGCCTAATATATACTATATTAATGAATGAAAAGAATCTTACTTTACTTCTTATGACTTAAAAGTGGAATAGTGCTATAACATACTCGTATATTTTTAAAAAATGAAAAATTTGTGAATTTGAAAATTATTTACCATGAAGCGACATGTGCGCCAGTTTTAAATGAAAACTATTTCATCATTTACGTATTTGAAATGAATATCTTTCCTATGTTTTAGTTTTGAATTACTTATCTAACATAATGTTAATAAAATAAGCTTATATAAGGTTTTTATACATTGTTGAATATGATACTGAATTATATTAGAGAAGTACATAGCTGTAAAAATTATTGAAAATTAGGCGAGGCTGAAATATCTAAAATATTAATTATTTTCCATATTTACAAACTTGTAAATATTAATCTGCACCACAATGTATGTGTGAAACACGTCAAAAGTTATACTTTAATATAATATGGTAAACTCACATCAAAAATTGGAAACATGCCTGTATCGCTATGAAATTCTTGGCCAATTTTAATTCATATATTAAGTATACTTAATTTTAGCCTCCAAATGTTGGCATGGAAGCAATCCAATATTGTTCCAAAGTACATATAGAGAGACGTCCTCGATACGGTGCATGTTGTACGCTACTGATATAGCTTTAAGGTATATTAGAACGTTAAAATCTCCAACTGCAGCAATTAAAAATGGAAGACACAAGAATGCAAAATTAAACAAAGTTTACCGCATGGTTTACAAGTTATGGAGTTATATCTTAAGTAAAACTTGGCTATTAGAAGGGCTCTTTTTCAGAAATGAGAAACTCTACATATTCTATTTTATAATCATTATGAAAAAATGTTTTCCTATAGAACATTTATAAGAAACAAATAATAGCATTCAGCTAACAAATGACCCAGCAAAATTATTTTTTCTACTCAAAATGTTTGAAATATGTTAATATATTTTACCCTACCCCACCCATTTTAAGTAGTTGTTTGATCATTTTTGTACTGGGGGGGGGGGGGGGGGGTCTTATTCAAAATGTCCCTAAAACTTACTCAAATCAGGGGCTGTTTAAAAATTTTCTTAAAAGTATATTGGTTGTGCTTGTCAAATATAAAATACTTTTACCGTCTAGTTTAGATTTTATTAGACTCTGAAAATATCATGTACCATATTTGATAATAAATTGGGCACAATTTAGCCGATAAATACCAATAGTAATTTCATAATTAAAATGGAATACTTTTTTCTCAAGAGTGATGTGAGAAACACAAATAATGTTCAAAGAAAATAAAAAAGAAAAAAAAAAGTTGTCTTTTCTGGAGCTTGAACCCGCGCCCTTCAGTTACAATGCAGTTGACAGTAGTTCTAGCCTTTTTGAATACTCTTCAAAGTGGATGTAATACATTAGGTGGATCATACCTTAAGTGTTAAAGCTACTTTCACTACCAATGTCTGTTCGTCTGCTTGCCGAGTTACAATTTTGTAGTTTGTCATTTTATAAAGCAGGTTATATTTTTCTTTGATATTTCCCCCTATTTTTATGTTACATTTATTTTTATAACAGAGGTGTATGCCAAAAGAAAGGCTCAATTTTACAAGAAGCTATTTGCTACATCAAAACAATGCAATCAGACCTTAGTCGGGTGCAGCAGCTAGAAGAAAAAATCCGTGAAATGGATAAACATATCAAGAAACTGAATACAAGAGTTGAAGTATGTATAAATTATAAATTGAAGTTTAAATTTCCTTGTTTTCTTTGCTTAAGTGATAGAAAAAGCAGACGATAGTTTGAACCACTTTCTTAAAACTAACCTGCATGGCATCATGACCGTAATCGTCTGGAGGGGTAGAATTTATGCTCCCTTGTTGTAATAAAGGCAATCTTTCGTCAAGTTTATATATTCCAATGACAAGTCAATTAACTTAGTTTTCAAAGTTTAATTCATCTTTTTATCACACACCCGTGCCGATTTTGCGACTCCGTAAATATGGTATTGCACGGCCGTGCATATATTTTGACGTGACGTCATTAGCGTTATACAAACAGAGTGTAAAGACGCGCTAAATGTTAGCGTTATACTATAGACGCGTCAATGAAAAATGACTCATATTTCACTTTTAACGGTCTTTATTTTGGGTATGTGATAAATAGAATATTAAATTCGTGTAAGTTCATTACTGAATTTATTGCACTCGTTGAATAAAATAATATTATGCTCGCCAGAGGCTCGCATAATATAATTTTATTCAACTCGTGCAATAAATTCAGTATTGAACTTACACTCATTCAATATCCTCTATTACATATCTTACTGTTTAACTACCCAAGCTGGTGATGTAAGAATTTCAGATTTTATGCTTTTAGGCTTTTGGACCTCCCTGGAATTCTTTTTTAGGTCAAAAAGCCTATTTTTTTTTATCTCTTTACATAGATCAACAAAAACAATGACATTGAAATATCTTCAAATGCTCGTTATTAAAGGGAATAAAGCTATATCTTTTAAAATATTTTGAGCCGTGTCACGACAAAACCAACTTAATGGGTTTGCGAACAGCATGGATCCAGACCAGCCTGCGCATCCGCGCAGGCTGATCAGGATCCATGCTGTTCGCTATCAGTTTCTTTACTTGTTATTGGGTTTGTAAGCGAACAGCATGGATCCTGATCAGACTGCGCGGATGCGCAGGCTGGTCTGGATCCATGCTGGTCGCAAACCCATTATGTTGGTTTTGTCGTGACGCGGCTCTTTTATAAATTCATCAACCGTAAAATCATTTGGTGTCAATAATACATTTATTTTGATCGATTTCAGTAAGAGTTGTAGCATATAAAGTCTTTGTTATGAAATACATTTTTTTGTGAATATTGTACGTATACAGAAAAAATGTTAGGAGCAAAATACTATGCTACAATTAAAAGTAGGTTTTAATCGTTTAGCGATGATTTTGTGCATGCGCCATCTGATTTTGAGGCAATATACTACCATATTTATACAATCATCTGGAAGTATTCCTTGTTTTTGAAATTCAAACAATAATTTTTAAATGAAATATATGACTTTATATATCTTAAATCGAACATTGTTCTTTTTTCTTGTACGATTCTGAGCTTGAGTTGAAAGCATTGCATCGCTTTTTTATTTTTTGCTTATTATGCACAATGGAGTTCTTGTAATAACATGTAGTCTATATTTAATGAAAGACATAGCATTTTCTACATCTATTACAACTAAGTAAGATTAAGTTAACAGAACACTGCTGCATGAAAAGATGTGAATATAATCAATATTTTTACTGAAAAGGTGAACTTGGTGCATTAATTTGTTAAAAGAAAAGTTTTTCTAAATATTACAATTTCTTTTGAGCAGCGTTTAGAATCAAGCATGAAGACCGATAACATCGACTGTAGATGGGTGGATCTGCAAGCACCTGCGGCGGAAGCAAATACAGCCGATATAAACCCAACGTCTTCAACGTTCAGAAAAGACGATCAGAATAATAACCGGGCAGATGTTATAACATCGATGTCACAAAATCTTTCTACATTAAATGAATCTTATAACCTTTCTACAGCTCATTCTGTTTCTAATATGTCACTGATTAGTGACTTCAACATGGTGCCAGATGACTGGTAATTTCATATCTCGCTCATTTTCATTGAGTTACACATTATATCTTTGCAATGTATCTTTGACCAGAATAAAGTGTATATTCTACGACTTGAGGCTTGTTTGATTTAGAAAATGATGTACATTCAGACTTTGAGAAATGATCGCTTGAATGTTTTCAGGTATTTGTAAGCAATATACCCTGTAGGAAGTTGAAAAGTCACTGGTATCTTGCCCGACTACATGTTTTTAAATGCAGCCAATACACAAAAGTAAAGGGGAAGACATCGTAAGGAAAGAACAGTAAGGCTAAAAAAGAGAAAAAATAAAATATTTAACAGAAAATTCAAGTATTTTTTTCTATAAATACAGGATTTATTTTATCTCACGGTATGAAATTTATCATATTTCATTCGTGGCTACCGGCACTCATGGAATATTTATTTTCATATCACTCGATGAAAATAAATTCAACATTTATAGACAAGGACGTGACTACCTCTTTAAATTTATGTATAGTTATCCAATGTCATTGTAGATTTTCCATGAAATATTGAATTTTGAAGTAAGCTGGGTGTAATACATTAATAAGAACAGTTAATAACCTTTTATAGACCCAAACAATGCACTTCTTTTTACAATATTATTTTTTTTCTGAATCTTTTTATCTTATTATGGTTAGCCACCGTACACACCCAAAATATGTACTTATCTATAATCCCGAAATTGTATCTTTATTTTTTATATAAATATAGTTGTATTAAAGTAAAATCAAATAATAAAGCCATCCTTGTGGTGTTTTGCATGTTGGTGTTTTTACAACTGTATGTAAAGTTTATTTTCGCAACTATTAGGCAGCGAATGGTTAAGTTAGTATATCTATGGTACACCAAAGAAATTAAAAATAAAAACAATAACAACACTATGTGCAGTTCTTTTATTATATTCAATGCAACTTTCACAAAATTATAAGTAAGTGTACATGAAGTAGCACTAACCTGAAGTTCGAACCGAACTAAAGGTATGTAAAACAAAATTTGATTTCTCAAATTTAAAAGAAGGAAAAGTCTATTGCATTAAAAAAACGTGATCTTTATAGATATCACGATATCTTCTTGTAACGCATTCGGACATAATGTATCACATTTTAAAAAAAGCATTAAAATATAAATAACATAATAAAAAACATTATATTGTGTTACAAATAGTTGAAATAATGTGCGATCATTGCTGTTCTTCAATTGTTTTTTATTACCTAAGGCAATATCAACCTTTAGTATATATGTGAGCCGTGTCACGACAAAACCAACATAGTGCGTTTGCGACCAGCATGGATCCAGACCAGCCTGCGCATCAGTTTCTCTACTTGTGATAAAGTTGGTAAGCGAACAGCATGGATCCTGATCAGGCTGCGTGGATGCGCAGGCTGGTGTGAATCCATGCTGGTCGCAAACGCACTATGTTGGTTTTGTCGTGACGCGGCTCATATAATCTTATCCTTATTCAACATAGAATTAATGTATATCATAATTATAGCGATACCCGATATGCATAACATTTTAACATAGCAAAATACAAATATGTTTTAAAAGATATTCAAAACAATGTAAACACATGAGCAGACAAAGCGTGTTTTAAGAATAATCACATCATATCTATTTTTAATAACATTATGTTAATAACATTTTGTTTTTTTGTTTCGTTTTTTCGGCGATGAAAAAAATTCAAAGGACAATTCATACATGATTTTTTCAGTTGCCCATTCACTGAATGCAAACAAACGCTTAAACTGTTATTTTTTTGTTAATTGAATAAAAGATATGAGATGTAACCATTAAATACACGACAAAGGTTTACATTATTACAAATATAAATTTGGTAATAACGAAATAGGCAAAAAAAACAATACGTATTTTGTAATTTGGTACAAACAAGTGTAGAATAGAATTATTTTGTTTTAGTAAAGATAAGCATGTAAGGTTATGTACAAGTCCGTAAAATGAACAAGGCTAACATATTCATATCGATTTAAATTAAAAGAGTATATATATGTAAAACTAAACATAGTTAAGAAATATGTATATATCACTTCCAAAGGTCGCTCACGTACATATTTTAACATATTAAAACTTTATCATTTGCTCATATTTCTCTATGACATGTCTAAATTCAATAATTATATACAAGCATGTGATATCAGACATAAAAGTTTAACATATGATATATCAAATTTAGAATACAAAGACAAAAAACAATAGAGAATGTCACGGACCTGAGCTTGCTAGCATCCAGTCACACAGGACCTGTATAACTATATGAAACACATTATTATAACTTAAAATATGATATATTCAAAGTCTACCCGGCTGTTGTTGATGTTATAATTTAGCTCATTAAACACGACCATATAACAATAAGTTTACCACAATGTCTCCTATCTCCAGTGTTCTGCGGATTTTATTGTAGCATCTTAAACTTACACTTATATTGTAAAATTGTTTTCATTTAAAGATGGCAGTGTTCCTCGTTGCTGTTTCCGACACTCTTGGAACTTTGAATTGCTGATTTAAGTTGATCAAACCATGATCGAGCTTGTGGGTATGTCTTTGCATTAAACTGGAGCCAACCTTTCACACCATTTTTAAGAAGAAGACAATATCTACCTGAATTCAAATGAAATCAGATGTAAAAATTTAGGTAATTGTCCTACAATAAAAAAAAATATGGGCCCATACTAACTGTAACTGATGATAATAGTATTGTGATCAAAAGCTACAACCTAAGTCAGGTTAAAGCAGATAAAACTTGTAATCAAATCTGTCAAACTAATTTTTACAAGCAGTTGACAATGTTCTACATGCACCTCTAAACAATTAGCTTCAATTTAAATTATACATATTTAGTAAAAAGCACTTCAGTTCTGTTATAAGTTTCCAGAAAATAAAGCTTTTGTGAAATCTTATCAAATTAACTTAGACAATGACGTAACATATCATTAGGGTCTAATTTACCGACGAATATTTAATAATTAATTTCACAAAGTCGGACAAATTACCTCCCATTTTCTTCATGTGCATTTCTGTTATTGCGTCCAAACTAATCAGTCTATCATTTTTCAAATATGTCCAACAGAGGTAATATTCCGACTTCATTTCACTTGTTTTCATTTCTTGTAACGTAGCTTTAATATCATATACGTTCCCAGTGGCTGACTGTTTCTCAATATCTCCTAATAAATATAATGTGTATCGTATCTGTATATGGTTGTGAATAGTATGACACGATAAGAAATTGAAAACGCGGTTAGTATTTGAAAGTTAAATAAAATATCAATATGTTATGCTTTTCAAATTAGCTTAACTAGCTTCGTTTTCTACTATGCATAAAATGGTACACATTTCATTCTAGTACTAAAATAAATAATGATTGTTTTCTTCTTAAATTACGATTCTCAATTCATATATTTAAGATTCATATACATACCAAGCATGATTGTTTTCGTGGAACCATGGCTCATTTCTGTATTTTTCCGGCTTTTTTCTGTGAATCTGTTTGAAATATTTGTATGCGATGTTGACTTACTTAAAAAATCTTCAAAAACAAAAGTTTCATTTGTCTGATTCTTCTTGCAATCCGTGATTATGTCCAACGACTTGTTTTCAACCCGTAATAACTCCTCGACTGAGATAGATAAGTCGCATGATGTTAGTTGATTCATTAAAAACTCTAACCTTCCTAACATAAGATGTGCACGAGACATGCTAAATGATTCCGAATTGAACCCCAAGTCAAGGCTTAGTGTCTTTCCTTTCATATTATGATAGACAAATAAGCATGTTTCATAGTTATGTCGTCGGTGACGAACAGCAGTTACTTTTACTGTTACGTCTTTTTTGACTGACTGCATTGATACGTTTGATATATCATCAATGATGAATCTATGTCTTCCTATATTTTGTTGGAGGTTTTCGGATTTTATGTTTTGTCTTATTAGCTCAAAAGGGTATGCACCATGTTCCGTTACCATATTTAATTGCAAAGCCATTTCTTGTAAATATTGAGAAATAGTGATCTTTGATTGTACCCTGCCTATAACAGGTACCTCATTAATACATCTTGATAGTACATTTTCTAGCGCAGGTATAAAGCCCCTGATATTTGTATTTGTTATCAACGGTATATATTCACGACCGGTTAATTCATGAATACACAAAAAATACACTGACAAAACACAATTGTACAGTGTAATTTTTTCATTCCTGGTAAAACTTATGATACTATCGAATTGATCATCGGAAAACACGTGTCCGATCTCGCGCCAATTTTCTTCTTGTAATGTCTTCAATTCATATGAAGAAAAGCTAAACGGCTCCACACTCAGCGAAAACTGCCGTTTCCAAAATGATTGCATGTCTTTGAACATAGGGGTCAGAGCTAAACGAACTGTTTCCGCAACGTGATTTCGTTGATTATCTGGAAGTTCTTCTCCTAGAAAATGATGCCGCGCACATATTTCAAGATCACGAAATAAAACATTGATACTTTGCATATCAACTACAACTGCATGAAGAAATAATTTCATTCTTGTTGTGCGTTCTTTGCATGCGAGATGAAATTTGACTGGAATATGATTCCTTGGGTCTAACTGCTCTGGATTTGACTGCTCGAATATGTTCTCAAATGATACAATGTCAATAGGAACATTGAATTTGTTGATTTCAATCTCTTTTGCCTGAAACCTTTTTTCAACGGGGTCCCAAAAGAATATTTGTCTCAGTCCAGGGTGGAGGTTAAGGAGAGTTGTAATTATTTGCACCCATTTTCTTACACTTGTCCTTTTCAATTTGACTTCATAGCAGATGCTGCGAATGAAATTTTCAGGTTTATCAGTATCAAGGCAGTTAAGGATACTGCCCTGCATAAATGTGACTGACCCATCCAAAATGTCATAATTTATAGGTTCCTCTTCTAACGTATTTTCATCGACGCCACGAGCTTCTAATTCACGTAGAAGAAAGGACACTAAGCCTTCTATTGATGTTGTGTTAGATAACAGGAAAACCACCGGAACGCGTATTGAAGTGTATTGATGAAGACAATTACTTATACTCATTGCCGACATGGAATCAATACCTAGTTTATAGAGACTAGTGCCTGGAAGAAGACTTTCTTTTTCAACCATCAGCGACTCTGTCAATGTCAACTGTATTACATTTGTTAGATTTTCTTTTTTCTTTTCAGACGGAAGCTTATGAAAATCATCTCTCAGAATGATATCTGAAGATTGAATAGGTTTTTCCTGTTGAATTAAGCCAGTTTCTTGAAGGATTCTTCGGAACTTATAATGCGCTGAAGTATAGATAGGGTTTTGAATAAATCTCTGCCAGTCAAAAATGCCGAACATTTTCTGAATGTCTTTTGTGAGAACTATTTCGTTAAAACAAGTTCTAACATCCTTGTCATTAAGAATATGGATACCCTGACGACGGAAACGATTTTCAAAATCTGGACCGCTTTCTCTTGCCATTCCAACTTGTAGAGCTCCCCAATTGATGCTTTGAGCGCACAACCCATGACTTGATCTAAAAAAGGCAAATGAATCCTGAAATGAATTTCCGGCTGCATAGTTGCATTGTCCCGGATTTCCAAATATTGCAGTAATGGAGGAATGTGTGACAAAATAGTCTAATGCAAAATCCTTACTTACGCGATGCAGATTCAATGTCCCTAACACTTTTGGTCGAAGAACTGTTTCCAGATCTTCGGTTGTCATTTTGTTTAGAAGCGTATCTTTCAGTACCCCAGCTCCATTAAAAATACCTTTTACCTTTGCATTTTTGTTTCTTAGAATATTGAAACCATTTTGTAAAGAATCTATATCTGTTATATCTGCTCGAATGTGTTGAATATTACATCTGTATAGACTTTCTATTCTTTCCATCTCAGTTTTCTTTTCTTTGGTGAGACCTCTTCTGGAAAATGTAACAAGATTACCCGCACCTAATTGTGCACAATATTGCAATAATTCCCAGCCAAGACCACTTGTACCGCCTACAAATATGTAATACCCATCCTTTTTGAAGCAAGATGACGGATAGAGAATAACTGGAATCTTTGTTTCCATAGATATCGATTGTACATCAACAGAACTGTATAATACGCTTATAACTGACAAGCTCCCTTCAGTTAATTCTCGCGGCAAGGTTTTTTCAAAGAAATCTGCATCCGTTTTCAAATATTTCAACACCTTTGGAACTAGTTTCATGCAACATTTTTCACTCAAAATATTTTCCGATCTGAGTGTTAGTACATCCGCATGTACTATATTTTGCATAAAGAAAGATGCTGCATCCCAAGGAAGCCAACTGTTTACACATATTACATTTTGTAGACCAATTATGCTGTTAAGCATGCAAATATTGCTTGTGTTTTCAAACTGAAGTACGACGGCATGTGAATATCTTTCATTGGTAGAAAGAGAAGTGAGTTCTTGCCAGGAAGCAATTTTGCCTTTTGATTTATGATATTCAAAAAGCCTGCTTAGTATTTTTGCTCTCCAACAGTTTGTATCAGATACCACTATTAGTGCATTTGAGTTTGGTTTGACTTGTTTGCGAATCTTCCAAAGTATTACAGTTTCGGAAATTAAGCCTGGTGTGTAAAAAGGAGTATCTTTCAAATTCAAACAACAACTTGTTGGCACTGTCAGTACTGTGGAAACGGTAACTGGAAAACATACAACATAAATATCGTCATCTTTTTTTAAATTCCTGTCTTCTTTTTTCCCTCTCTGAATCCAACCCACAAACTCATTGGTTTTGATCTCTATTCCAGGATTTGAAGAAAAAAATGATATGCTTGATTTTGTTGTCATCATATCATTTCTGTTTATATACACTGTTGAAACTTTAATATTCACATTATCTCCTTGAACTCCGTTCTTCTCTAATATTCGATAGGCAGCTGCAAGAAATGGATCAGAAACACCATCTGAAGAATTCGAGTATAAACTTATCGGCGTTGAACATTCGGATATACTTGTTTGAATAGTTGCAATGTCTTGCGTAATTGATGGACGAATTTCATTTCCATAGATGTAGCCATTCCTTATCAGAGATTCTAAAACTATATTTTCCGTGTTTACCACAAGGGAAACAAAAGGCTGGATGCTCTCTACTTGCAAATCTACATCGATGAGGCGTATATCTTCACTTGGCATTTCTGTCATAGCTGATCGTGTAAATCCCCATAATTCTGCCCCTAGAAAATTCGTTTTCTCTTGTAACTTGGGCGACAACTGCTGTGTCATTTCGGTCACAACAAAAACCGGGGTAGTGTCCACAGACGATTGCTTGATGTTGAAAATGGTTTTCAAGGAATTTGCATTTGATTTGATGATGTTATAGACATCGACATTAACCAGATCAAGAATATCGTTGCAATTCATGCACGGGGCAAATACAAGTTTTTGTCCCTTTTTACAGTGGCGTAAAACTTCCGTTGCTTCTTGTTTGAACTTATTTTGATCATCAGGGATTTCATGAAAGGTAAATGAAAAATTGCCTTTTGAAATCCAGCGTTTAAATCGTTTTGAACCAAAAACAATCATTACCTCATTATTCATGTCTGTGTCTTTCCACATAAAATCCTGTGACATTTCATGCTTGAACCAGTTGAGATCATACGAAATATAATCATTAGGAATAGATGTGTCCATCGTTCGTATGATTAGGTCAGTCATTTCTGCAACTATCGTCCCTTTCTCAGTACACAGTATGGATGTATAATAACTATTTTTTCGAGTCATTTTTGTTAGTTTTGTATAAACAAGCATATTTTCTTGCATTGCAGTATATACTTTAAGAGTTTTGAAACCTTTAGGAATCCCTGCAAATGATCTTGAATTGACATCGTTAGATAAAACTCCCGAAGCTTGTAACATGGCATCCACAATTGCAGGATGTATCGTATAGTTTTTGACATCATGTCTGATGCAAGTTGGAATATGTATGATAGAAATACATTCGTCCCTCGTGAAGTAACATTCTTTTATAAGGCGCAATGAATCTCCATATGTTAAGCCTATCTTCTCCAAAACATCGTATATTTCATTTGACGATTTAGACTTGGTCAAACACATTTTCAATGCTTTGACATTTATTTCATAATATTCAATAGGTTTTCTTTCACTAACGTGGCCGTTACACAGAGTACGTTGATTTACACTCACATTGTACTCTAAATACTTGTTTTCTTTACCTTTCATTTGTTTAAATGAAACATTAAGCACAGTCGTTGGCCCTTTTTCTACCATACAAGGATTTTCAAAGCTAACTGAGAGTTCTAAAATGTCAGGTGGACTTTTTAGGACTTCACTAGAACTGGCTATCACTGCTTCAACATATGTTGCCCCAGGCACAGTCACATGGCCTAACAATTGATGGTCAAAAACAAAAGGTGTAGTTTCCTGACTAATGAGTATTTTAAATGACTCTTCATTGACTTTTTCAACATAATGCTTTGCACCCATTGAGTTTGACAATCCTGAAAGGTACTGTTTACTTAAACTTGATACAAAAAGTGGGCAGGTTCTGTTAAAATGGTACCTGGGCAATGATGTCAATCTACCTTCCTTTGGCACTAACGTTGATAGATTTATGTCCATGCCTAGTTCAAACATCGCAGTAAGCGAATTGTACATGCAACTCTCATCGTTGAGATTCATAGATGGAAGACAAATGTACTTCTGCTTATCACCAAGTATATTTGGAAGATGTGTTCTAAGGACCTGTCTTGGTCCTATTTCTAGGTAAACGTTTCTACAGTGATCTTTTGCAGCCATACCTATGGCTTGCATGAACATGACTGGTTTGCGAACATTTTGTGCCCAATATCCTGCGGATATTAATTCCTTTGGTTCAACCAGTTTCCCTGTAACTGTTGAAATTTGTGGAATATCTGTTTCAATACTACTTTCAAGATTTGTTAATGCAGAAGTTATATCTTTCAAACAATCATCCATAAATCGACTATGATACGCACAAACTACGTTTAAGGAACGTATGAATGCACCCTCGCAAGACGACATATCTCTCTCTAACTCTTTAACTGCAGTCTCTGAGCCTGATACAGTACAGGAGGAAGGACTGTTATATACAGCAATATTCAAGGAATCATCGTATTTAGACATGAGGCAACGGTTTTCAATCTGCGATAAAGGCACATTTCCGATAACAGTCATTGCACCACCTTTCATTTGCGCTAATATTTTTGATCGATGATATATAACTTTCACGGCTGAAGATAAATTTATCGCCCCAGATGCGTATGCGGCTGCAACTTCTCCGACAGACTGGCCGATTATTGTATCCGGAACTACGCCTAGGCTTTTCCACACTTCGTAAAATGCGACTTGTACAGTGAATATCGCAACATGATTCAGGAAAGGATCGCTGTAGTTATCAGTGCAGGTCAGTATTTGTTCGACATCACAATTTGAATATATTTTCATATAATCGCTTACCTTTTTAACTGTCTGTTGAAAAACTTTATGTTTTTTCATCATTTCAGCTCCCATTTTTGGCCAAGCTGTTCCGACTCCACAAAATACAAAAACCAAGTTTTGTTTTTGTCCGTGTACTGATTCGCTCGTTTTATATGACTCAAAGTGTGCACTTCGGTGTATATCATTTAAAGTTGTGCCATAAAGAAGAGTTCGATGTTCATGTTTATCGCGATATAAAAGTGAAGTATATGAACAATTGTTCAGTTTTTCTTGGAACGTTTTTGTGTCTTTTATAAAGCCTTCTACGTTTCTAGATAATGACGTTTTATCCCTTCCAAATATACATACAAAGTGAGGGATGTAAGAGCCTTGAACAGCTTCTTCATCATCTTCATGTACATCCAAACTCTCACTGCATTGTTTTATCACAGCATGCCCGTTTGAACCCCCAAACCCAAAAGAATTGACACACCCAACTCTATTTCCGAATTGATTCTTTGGCCATTCTGCCGTGCGTACAGATATATCTAGTATCGTATCCTCAAGCTTAACTCTTTTGTTTAGATTTGATTTGTCTTCTTTGATATGTAAACTTTTGATAATCTTTCCGTATCTCATCATGAGCAAAACTTTGATAATACCTGCTACAGCAGCTGCGGATTCTGTATGACCTATATTTGTTTTCACAGAACCCATTAAAATCTTCCGTGAAAGATCATAATCGTTTGTTTCCTGGAGTTTTGCTTTGATAAATGTTGATATCGCATCAATTTCAGTAGGATCCCCAATAGGCGTCCCTGTACCTTTAAATGAAAAATGAACCCTAAGCAAATATACCCCGAAAAACTGATGAGCATAAACTGACCCAATTAAATTGAACCTGCAATATTGTTAACTTTGACTTGATAGCCGACTTTTATTAATTATAAGTTGCCTAACCGTTGACATACCTTTTTATAGGAATTATAACTATGAATGTAGCTTTAAAGATATTGCCCTCCTGTCAACTGTTTTAACATTTCTGTTTCTATATCTAAGTTTGAAACCTGCACAAATTGAATCAATAGATGTATACGGAATACAGAAATATGAAGAGTTCATAAGTAATATACATGTATATATATTCTTTAAAATATTTTCAAAAATCTGCAAAGCCTTACCATGAACTTCAATGTAGTCTAAGTCTTTTGGATTCACCTTATATTTCCCGTAAACACTGTGTAATAATTTCTGCTGTTGTTTACTAGATGGTGCCGTCATAGGCGATGTTGCTCGGCCATCTTGGTTTATACCAGTTTGCAATATACCCCATAAATTCTTGACTTTTGTAGGCTGAAGCAGGATGGAAATTCTTAAAGTAACCAATTTAAATTGAAACCGATGTATTATCCATTTTCTTCTCATGAATCAGTTTAAATACCATTCTGTTTCTATAAATTTCTCTTTCTAAATGCAATTTTACAAATTCTGCCGGGAATTCATTGACTTTTTTTCTAAAAATTAACCATTGCTCATCTTATTGACTACAAGACAGAATATATTTACACATAAAGAAATGAAAAAACACAATATTATACCCTCTTCGTTGACTGTAAAATAACGATACCGCAGCCTTCACCTCTGGCGTACCCATCAGCCGTATCACAAAATGTTTGACATTGTCCCACCTTTGATAACATCCTTGCCTTGCAAAGGGGAAGAAACATATCAGGGGACAATATACTGCTGACACCACCACATATTGCTAAGTCACATTCACCTGCAAATATAACATGTATCTTTAATTACATATACGTGTCTCCTACGAAGATTGGAAAGATAAATTAAATTAATGTCTTAAAGAAAGATATATTATACTCTAAAATTAATTTGTGGGAATTAAACGTAAATACGTATCGAATCGTACATTGATTTAATATAATAAAGTTAAAAGTCACAATATTGTATATGTTTTAAACTTGTCATTATCATCTGAATAGTAAATAAAGATGTAAGGCCACCAGGGCATAAAACAAATTTGGCATAAATTTCTAAATGTTTGATTGGAAAACTAAGTATTTATCTAGCACTGACGTCCACCCAGTAGGATTGTCATTAAATATCTTTGGTACTTGCTCTCTTGAGTTTAACTCATAAATTTAATGCATGAGTCTTTCTATACCTGCACGTATTGCTTGGCATCCTAAATGCATTGCCATCATAGCAGAAGAACATGCTGTATCTATTGTCATACATGGTCCATGAAGATTATACACATATGAAACTCTAGATGCAATAACCGTTGTACTTAGACCTGTTGCTGTAAAATTGGTATCAGCGCTGTGATCTGTACCCATCAAACTTTTATAATCATCATTCATAACGCCTGTGTACGCAAAATAAGATATTAATAAGATATGCAATGTTCAACAAGAAATATCAATAGGCCTCTTAAAGAATATGATTCAGTTTAGCTCAATAACATTATGATAGTTTACATTTAATTATTGTGGAAAGTATTATTGTCTCTATAGATTTAAGTTCGAAAATAAATCTAATCATCCGTTAATTAAACTAAGTGATTTTCTTACCGAAGATATTTCTGTGTGCCACCTTTACCGATTTTAATACTTAAACTAAATTTCTAGTTACAAAAATCATCGATATCTTACCAATAGCATAAGTAACCGAATGTCTGATACTAGCTAAAATTACAGTTACTACATACATATTGACAAATCATGTAATTTAAGTTCACATTCGGAGCATTCTGCTATATCGAGTGACTAGAAATTTATTCAACTATAAACATTATTATCTGTTACTTATTTTACTTACTCAGTAACACAAAATGTATAATTAAAAGGTGTAAAAGTCTTTTAAATCAGACAAAGCAATGAATTGGGATCAGACAACTAGAGTCGCTTGTCACCTATGACAGGGAGTCGTATAATTCAGACCATTTATAAAGGGAAACACGTTGGGAGGACTGAAACAAGGTCGGATATAAGACAGGGAGTCGTTGAAATCAGGGGGTCCCTCAGGCAGTCTTGACTGTAGTTAACAGATGAATATTTTTAAGTGATAAGTTTTAGTCGTGTTAGGCACTCTTAAGTGTTTTCTACTGAAGTAATATTAAGTGTATAAAAAACATGTATCTGATGCCAATAGTTTACAACAACAAAACATAAATAAATAAATAAATAAGAAATAAAAAGAATATTAAAAATTATCCAACACTCCCAAATAACATGAAATAGCGATAGACATATGACTGTATATTCAAATGAAAGTGAATAGCGCATGCATGAAAGCCTAAATTAACAATTTAAACCCTATTTTAGATAGTAGCATAATACGTTTCAGCGAAATATTTTGTTAAGAAACATTTAATTTATTCTTGTAAGGTAAATCTTCATGTGCGTTGAATAGCATGGACTTTCAATGTTACAAATATTTCAAAAAGGCAACACAAGATAGAACTAATGAGCACAATATCATTTTAAATAACGTTTATCAATTTTATAAAAATATTACTCAACATATAGTTTTATTCTAATGTTACTGTTGGCAGAAATATGCCAACATGGAGGAGATATCAAATATTTTATGGTTATTTATCGCCTTATGTCATCTAAGAGTCTAAAAGAAGCGAACGGTAATTTTCAAATGTGTATATTCTAGACATGTATTACATAAAATAAACCTTATGCATCCGCCATGCATATTTTGTCGATCTGTGATGATTGTGAAATCGCAGGACCTCCGTCAGTGCTCCGTTACGTTTTTACATTTGAAAGAGAACTGTTTACTGAACTATTTATTCAATAAAAAAATAGTGTTACTGAATGCTTCTTTGAAATGAATATCATTTTATATACTGACAAACATAAGCCTGAATTCATCTCACCTATAAACACTCCTGTGTTTGTACCGGATATCTGTTCTCTTGTAAAACCTCCGTCTTCTAATGCCATATGTGTACATTCCAGAACATAACGTTGCTGGGGGTCTATCCTGACACCTTCAAGGTCACTAATACCAAACAAACGGTTGTCCCACTTGTCATGTCTTTAAATTAAGAAAATATTACACATGGTTGATAACTTTCATTTCAAACAAGTTCACATCACATGCTTTTTAGAAAAAATATTCAGTTGCTTGAAAATTTGAATCTGCACATAGGTTACGAGCACCTTATCAAAATAAGTTGACGTTTATCAAGAACTTTGTTAAGAAGAGAAAACTTACAAATGTTTTTGTAAATAATTAAGGCAATTAACTGACTACGTTACTAACCACAATTTCATTTTTGAAGAAGACTGCCTTTGACCTACTGACCTCAGAATTTATAAGGGTCTTCAACCCGGCATGACAAGCCTAACCATTTCTATAATTAGAACTTTAAACATTCTCTAGTTATTCTTCGCACAAGCTTTTTGTTATCAATGTCACACTGGCATTGACCTTTAATATATTTACTTCAAACTCGCAGGCCTTGTTCAAACGTTAAGACTTTGGGCAAAGTTCTACTCTACTTATCTGTTTTCGACTTTTAATTTAATGCAAGTTATCATATAAAAACAATGTTGCTTCATCAATAACGAAAACAAACTTTCAGTATGTGACCAATAATGCCTCAATGTATTTCAAAAATGCAGCTATGTAATCTATACAAATATAATTGTTAAAACCTGGTACTAAAATGAAGCAGGTTCTCATATCAAAAGAAAAAAATGTTTCTGTAGTTTTCATCGACAAAAGTTTGATTTATGGTCTTACCGACCGAAAAAAAACAACAATATATCAACTTCCTCTATGGAGGCATTATGATTGAATGTAATACTTATTAGTTTACTTAAAATATTCATTTAGAAAATTATTCTTATATTCCATACAAGACATTGTTATTTTTTGATAAAAAATATTGAAAAAATCAAAACAAAAATCGATTAATTGCTTTTCCCCCCTCGTTTAATAGATATAATAGAATGGTGACACTTTGAACATCACTTACTCTGTCAACAGCCCAGCTTTCTTGACATAGATCTTTCCAGGTTCGTCAAATGCCTCACTGTAAATTTTGTCATTGTCCCATCTCTCCTTTGGTATGTCTTTAACATGGTTTTCACCATTTTCAAGTAGCTTCCAGAATTCATGGATATCATTCGCACCGGGAAATCTACAGCCTATCCCAACAATACCTATCTCTTCAACATCGGTCGCCATCTCACATGCTTGAGAGTGACCTGTGTACTAAGAATGGAAAATGAACAGTTAAAACAGTTGTTGCTGCACCTATCTACATCTTATAGTATATGAAGGCATTTATCAAATGAAAACAGGCAGCGTTTGGGTGCAAATTTTAATCACTTTAACGCCTATTCGTGCCGTAACGCTGGATATCAGTCGTAGTTGGAATTCAAAATTCTCGACGAAGGTTGTTCGCTGTGGGTAACAAAGACTTTGTCTATTATGTACTGTGGTGCATCGACAATGTCAAACTCTATATATCTGTATTCGTTTAGGTACAGTCTTGCTTTTTACTGTGTGCAAATTATGTCATTTTTAATATAAGCGTAATTATTATTACTCCGAGTTGAAACCTACACATGTTTCTTACTTTAGTGCCAGAGGCACGAATTTAATGTGACAGTCGAATATCGTATAATTCTGCCAAATCTTAAATCTTTTGAAAAAAAAAATCATGATCTTTTGAAGAAAAAAAAATCATAGAAAAAAATGTGGTGTTTCAAAGGATTATTTATTTTACTACTATTGAAGTTACATATTGTACTGAAAATGTTGTAAATGTGTGAAAATTGTGTTATTATTTGAGGAAAATAGAAATTAAAGCAAATTGGCAAGTTATTGTGTAAATGGAAGATCAACGGAAAAAAATAGTCCGGAAAGTGAGAGAATGAAAACAAACAAACGAAAGATGTCATGTTTGGTATTTTGTTAATGAGGTATATTTGAAGTGCAGCATCGCTCACGCACCTCTCACCGGCTTAAGTTGTATCCAATCTAATTGTTTTCAAGCAAACCTTTCTAGTGGATTCCCATATTTTATGATCTTTCAAGAAATAAGCATTTTCTTCAATTTCAGAATGAAATATGCTTTGTGAAATTTTATGAAGATTTCAGTTGAAAGTAAGACCATGTTTTATTATCTTATGTTATACATGTACCTTTGTGCAATATAACTTTCTTTTATATATGAAATAAAGTATTTTCAACAATAGAAATTTAACAAATGCAAAGCCTTTTCATCCGCGATAATTTATTTTACGTCTACGCTACAAAACTGTTCACCTTATTTCTTATATTACACAATTCTAATAATTTTCTTAAGTTTGTTTTAAAAGATCTTGAATCCGATACAATTAAAAGGAACCTGTTTTTTTTTCAAGAAAAAACATTGCCATTACGTTTGTAAAAAAAGTACTTATATGTATCATTTTTTAAAGGAAATGGACATAACAAGTTTGGCAGAATTAATATATTAGAAAACATACGGATCTAAAAGAAAAACCTCTATCATCCTTGCTCCTTTTATGTACAATAAAACGCATTCTTTATAAACTGCATAAGTAATTCGATGGATGAGATAAGTTAGGTTAAGTACGTTTGTAATGTGACAACCTATGAATAATTCTTGCGCTTCACAATCACTGCATGAGTTAAGACTACTGTGCACTGTGACGCACGACTTTTATGGTAAAACACTAACGCCCTCCGTATTAGCAATCAAAGATCCTGTATGCTATTATTGTGGTTGTAACCACACTTAAGTGAAACTTTATATATGTATATAATTATGCTTAAAAAAGCAATTTTCAAACATCAAAGAATATGTAAAATACTGCAAATATTTGTCCACATTATATGTAATCATTTAAATATATGCATTCATTTCTTATTGAAAAATTTGACTTAGACTTAAAATATTTATTACTGAAAATAAATGTGTAATTACCTCCCTTTATTAACGTGAAATGTTAATTCTGTAATGTTTTTACAAATAATGCTTTTTGGAACTTTCAGTATTGATAAATCTTCATTTGAGCATTATATTTCTGATATAAAACCACAACAAATTGAGTTACAGGATCTTTAAGCATACAAAATCCTTTTTGAACGAAAATTATTTCAATCAACACTCATCTACATCATAAGATATTTACCTGTCCGAAAAAAGGGCGTTTTTGATGATGCAAAATAAATTCCTTATTTCTGAGAGCAAAGTCAAGGTTGCTATGTGGTACCTTAAAGTTAAGGGGAAAATCGTATATTTAAGGAAAAACTTATTATAAGATGTTTATTAAATATCACTTAAGATTTTTCTTTAAAAAACACCCCAAGAAACACTGATTTTAAAATTTCATTATTTATAAGGGCATATTTAAGGATAAGGTATATTGAATTATTCATAATTTCGTATTTTTCTTCTAAACAAATTATTTTGTACTTTCTACTGAACACTAGCTGTAGTTATAGATTTTGAAGCATCATTAATAAAGCACACGATCTGAAAGTTTGATATTAATTTTCGAAATTTCTAAAGCAGCTAGCATTCTGTCTACGCTGAAGTTCAATTACAACATCCCTCTCACTTTGTTTATAGCGGAAGAAAAGGAAAAAGTTGTTTAAATTTGTCAAATAATTCTTTCAAGTACATTTGTAATACGTTTTATATGCCATTTTATTTTCCCGACATAGCGTTAAATTGGCTAGAAAAATATATAAGTTAAAACGTCTTACCTTAGATATAAACCAGTCTGTGGCAATCTGGTCCTGTTAACTGTTTACTTTTTCTAATAATTTACAGTCCTATTTATAGGCCATTTTCCTTGTACGAGTACATTAATTATTCCATGCCTTGACTTTATGTTTAGGTCGAAATTTGGGTTGAATGTTTGTTAGAGACATAAATATTAATTTAATTTAATTAAATTAATGAATATTTATAAACGGTAGTTTTTGTTTAGAAAATATTAATGACATCTATAATACATAACTCATCATTGTGAGAGGGGTGTTCAAAAAGTTAAACATTCACGTTATTACGGCTTTTGGTTCACGTTATAATGCCTTTATTTTATTTATCACTATTTTCAAAAATAGAAATTTAACAAAGGCAAAATCTTTTCATCCGCAATAATTTTTTTTAAATCTATGCTGCAAGACTGTCCATGTTATTTCTTATATTACACATATATATTGACACTACTGGAACATAATTATTGAATACGCATTCCAGAACTTCTTTCATTATATGGCATTTGTTTTTTTCTCTACCAAACCGTTCCAAACAATTAGCTGAAGATAAAATTCCTGTTGGACAGAGGGATGGATTGAAAGATGAACGGACGGACGGCTAAGTGAGTTTTGATATTTTTCTTTATCTTTAATTTTAACGATCTTGATATATTAAGAGTGTTACCATTACTTACATTTCAAAATGAAAATATCATGTATACAATTCAGTTATTACCGGAGGGTTATTTCTTTACCAGTTCTACCTACCGAGTCGAAAAAAAGGAGTCGAAAAACTGTTTGTCTTTCGCTTCTTCAAAAGGTTTTAACATCATGCCGCGAGGTAAAGGAAACAGAGGTGCCGATTAGGCAAATGATGGCAGAAAAAGAGCGAGTACTCATGCGAGGGTAGTGGACAGCCGGTCTCAGAGGCAAAATCAGGAACCCGTTGCTGTTCATTTTCCACCACCACCATCGCTAGGTTTTAGTCAATTCGACGATTTATTTTCCAATCCGAGACAACCAGCCACCTCTCAGTTTTCTCCTGCAGCCACCTCCCCAAGTTGTGCCCTACCCCCTACGGCTCAAATTGTAATCCCTCCCGCTGTCGTCCCACATCCGGACATAACCCATCCTAGTGTGTTTATCCCTTTAGGCAGTTGTGTTCCCCAGAAGATCAAAGAAAAAATCTGTTCAAGTGAATTTTTAGACTTGGGGATCTTACTCAAATCCCAACGTCATTTGAACGAAATTTCAGAATCTGGACCTGCTGGCGAAGTTCAATTTAGGGAAGGAAGAATTTTTGTCAAGCCCCATGAACTGGAGAGTTCAAAATTGTCAATCGATCAGTGGACTTCGGCTTTTATCATGTATACCAACATTTTTTAAAACGATTTCCAATGAGGGCCCAAAAACTACTGAAATATCTGCGGGATATTCGTTTGGCATCTACTAGGTCACCCACTTGGTGGCAATACGATGGTCAGTTTCGCCACTTGCAAGCTTCAAATCCTTCCAATCATTGGGGTGTCATTAATGTGGAGTAATTGCTTCTATATGTTTCAGGCTCTCCAGCAACACAATATCCAGTAAGGTTGACCACATCCACTATTTCTAGCACTCAACAAAAATTTGTACCTAATAAATCCCATTTTAATGTAAGCCCGTCATCACTTACTTTTAATTTGTTCAATACTGGTCGTCATTGTCGCTTTACAAATTATAGGTACAAGCATGCATGCCAACTCTTTGGAGGTAATCATCGCCGAACAGTATGCCGCTCTAGTCGGCATCAGTAAGGAACAATTACTGAATCAAAAAGGCAAAACACCCCTTAACGTTACAAAGTTACTATCATATTTAAATCTGTACCCAGACAACAGTGCTGGGGAACTTAAATATGGGTTAATGAATGGTTTCCCATTACATTATGAGGGCCCTCGTTACTTCAGAGACTCACCCAATTTGCTTAATGCAAAACAGTTACCTTCAATATTACAAAATAAGATAATCAAAGAAATAAAGGTTTGCAGGGTAGCTGGACCTTATCTGTCAATACCATTTACTACCATGCAAATTTCTCCTGTTGGTCTAGTCCCCGAAAAAGGGGGAGACTTCCGCTTGAAACACCATTTGTCATATCATAAAGATGGATATATTAATAGTTACATAGATGAACAGTACTGTTCAGTTTCTTATTCAACAATCAATCAGGCCACAAACATGGTTTTTTCCTTAGGTGAAGGTTTCCGCCTATGTAAATCAAACGTTAAGTCGGTCTTCCGTTTGTTATCAATTTCCCCAAAAGATTTTGACTTACTAGGTTTCAAGGTCCAAGTGAGGTCACTAAGTGGACCGGTCACTTACTATTTTTATGATAAGATGCTACCATTTGGTGCATCCATCAGCTGTGCTATCTGGGAAAAGTTCGCCACTTTTGTACACTGAGCTGTAGTTGAAAACAGTAATAACCCTAATATTCAACACTACCTTGACAATTTCCATTTTGGGGAGCCAGCTTTAAGCTGTGAGCATGATCACACACTGCAGTCCTTTAAAGATTCTTGCCAAAAAATTTGTATCCCAGTTGCACTTGATAAAACATGTCACCCAACTACTTCCATTGTTTTCCTAGGCATTGAATTTGATACAGTTAAAATGGTACTGCGCTTACCAGAAGAAAAACTTGTCGAATTAAAGAGCAAATAACACAAATCCTTAATGCAAAAAAGGTTACTTTGAAAGTCGTGCAATCTCTGATAGGCTCACTCAACTTTGCTTGCAGAGTCATTGCATCAGGCCGTGAATTTGCAAGAGGTCTATAAATTCCACCATTGGTATTAAAAAGCCATATCATAAGATAAGGGTATCTGGTCAAATGAAAAAAGATCTGCAGCTGTGGTTACAATTTCTGGCTGCATACAACGGAATAACATTAATAACTGACACTTGCTGGCTGTCGATATACTGGCTGTCATAGATCTACAGCTGTACATAGATAGTGCAGGGGTCCTCTTGGGGGCTATGACATTTTCTTTGCAGGTCATTGGTCTCAGGGGGTTTGGCCATTACACTGGGTGGAAGAAGGTCTTTTGTTACATGGACCAAGGTGTTCAGTAACAAGAAAGTTTTGTTCCATATAGATAACCAAGCAGTAGTTCATATAATAAAGACACAAACTTGCAAATCTGAAAGAGTCATGAACCTTCTGAGACATCTAGTCATGTTCATGTTCACACATAATTTTTCTGTCAAAGCAACCTATATTCCTTCTAGTCAAAATATGATAGCTGATTCTCTTTCTCGTTCACAGTGGGGGAAGTTTAGACGGGCAGCACCCGATGCAGACATGCAGCCAACAAAGATTCCATCACTTCTATGGACCATTAATAAACACAGCTCAGAATCTTTATTTTAATTCTTTAGCAGCTTCAACCCACAAGACATATGCTTCCGGTGTCGAAAAGCTTGAGTATTTCCGGCTCACTTATGGCCTGCCACAATCTTGGCCCATCCCTTTAGAGCATCTCCTACTATTTATTGCATATTGCTCAAACAACGGCCTTTCTGCATCATCTGTGGCTACTTATATATCAGTCATTGGTCATTCTCAGAAAATACGAACATGTCCTTTTTAGTGCAGCCTTTTCTGTTGCATTTTTTTTGGCCTGTTAAGGGTAGGAGAATTTACTACGCCAAGTGCAAATTATTCAGGTCAAAGGCTATTGATTGTTAACGATGTCCACATCTCGGATAATATTATGCAATTATGCATCAGATGGTCTAAAACAGACCAATATGGAATGTCAACAACCATAAGTATACATGCCACAGATTATACTGCCCTTTGAACAACATGCAAATATATCTTAAAAATCGTACACACTTCAGCAATAACCACCTTTTTGTTCACTTTAATGCTAAAAGCCTTACCAGGTATCAGTTTACATCAGTTTTACGCAAAACATTGCAGTTTATTAATGCCCCAATGTTCATCAGGTCACATAGCTTTCGTATCGGAGGGGCAACATATTTTGCAAGTCAGGGTGTCTCAGACGAACAGCTTAAGTCTATGGGCCGCTGGAAATCCAGTGCCTACACTAGATATATTCGTTTAACAGCTTAACTATCCAGTATTGCTATCAATCAGTTCAATCCCTAACCATCCCAAAGTTAATTTCAGGTCAAAAACACATCTGGATAGTGGGCTCCTCAATAGTGCATTGGGCAAAATCGGCTGCATCAAAAGATCTTCAACTCGGATTCACCCATCGTAATATTTCTGTTCAGTGGCTGGGAAAAAGGGGATTGAAGCTGGCTGAACTACATACTATAATGGACTCAAGGAAACATGAGATCGACTTCAATGTAACTGAAAGACCAGATTTTATCATGCTACATTGCGGTTCAAATGACCTAACAGTAGAAGGTATCACGGGTAAAGACATAATAGAGCAAATAAAAGAATCTCTATTGAGATATCAAGCCCTTTTTACAGGTGCCATCATTATCTGGTCCTCTATCCTCCAGACGTTATTGGCATTATGCACCTTTAGGCGCAAGTAAACTGATTGAAAAGAAAAGGAACCGAGTCAATGCAGCCGTTAAAGCATTCATTTTGTCAAATGGTGGCAAATATATAAACAATGACTGTGACATTCATGCTAAAGAAGTCAGTCTCTTCCACACAGGTTGTACCCACCTTCCAAATTTTGGCAATGATTTCCTTCTAAAAAACTGGAAGTTGGCACTAGAAATGTATGTAACCACCGACGAAATTTTGTACCCAAAACTCAATGCTAACTAAATAGGAAAATAACAATGTGAAATATTGGGTCACACACATTTACGAGACCCTTTGTATGCTTATAAGTTGTTTGATTTTTGTTGTGAATCAAAACGTAGTTACATTGCTCTCAGGTATAATTGTAGTAAGAATTTTATCATGGGGGAATACATAAAGTATTCTGTGGCGGCCCGGGGAGACAAACAAGGGTGGTTTCGGGTTTAAGAGCCTGGCTCTTTCTCCTAGCCTGACTTGCTTTAAAGCAAGCAATCATGGTTTTAATGTATTTTGTTGTGGTCCACTCCCGAGTAACGGGGGCACCCCCTCCACCTCACCTCCCTGTATGGAGGGGGCCTAGGGCAGGGTATGTCCGGGACCGTCTGTTAGGAGTTTGTAGTAAACCAGGCTGCCCAGTCGCAACCGTCTTTTTCAGGATGTGTGCATTAACTGTAAGGATGCGAAACTAGGTTTCATCCTAGGTCACTGACTTGGCCATTTTACCTTGTATAGGAAGCAGTCAGTTGTCTCCCCTGGA